AAAAATTGGATCTTATTTTTAGCTTTTTAAAAAGCTATTTTATCTAAAAAATAGAGCTATAAAGAGGGAGATACCAAAAGATTTGTGAGAAGGGAATTGCAAGAGTTTTTTGGGTGGCGAATTCAAGACTACTTTGGATCTTTCTATGCCATTTACTGGATTTTTTTTTTTTTTAATTTTAAAAATTTAGAAGAAGCTAAAACTCATTGTCAGCTTTTCAACAAGCCTTAATATACAAGAAGAAGAGCTATAATGAGGGAAATCCAAGCTGATTTGTATACAAGGGTTTTGAGGCAGCTATTGCAACAAGTGGCCAATGTTTTTTTCTCCTTGATTTGGCTCTAATTTCCACAAGATTTTATTTATGGACTTTAATAATTTGAAGTTTATAGCTTGAATTTAGCTTAACAAGCTAAACTTTTCTTAGATTAGATTAATAATAAGTAAATTATAGGTATTTTAATAAGATGAGGTATGGATTTAAGATTTGAATAAGGAGTTGGATACATCTTGGTACAATAAAGAAATTAGTCTAAATTTTGTATTTAGCCTTTGACTAACTTTTCATATTTGACTTCATTTAGGTAATATTATGCTCTTTACAACCTACTTGTAATTAAAGACCCTATATTCTTTCAAGGAGGCTTGCCTTCTTGACATCAAAAAGAAGACAAATACCATCGCCTTCTATAAAAGTAGATAATAATCAAAAATTTGAGGTCGAAGAAATCTTAGACTCAAGGGGGCATCGACCTAGGTTGGAATATCTTATTCATTAGCATGGATATGATATTAGCAAAAGTACATATAAGCCAACAAAAAATCTTACAAATGTAATAGAGAAGATCAAAGTTTTTTATCAACAATATCCATCAAAATTAAGATGAAGGATAGCAAACCTTTCCTATGAAAGAAATACAATTTACGATAAATTGCATTCAACTTTCTATCCTTGTTTATAATTTATGTATAATTGTGGCATTAAAGAGATAGAGAACCAATACTTAGTTGATTCAACTCAAGAACCATCATTTGTTAATTTACCAGATGAGATCTTGTGATTATTACAACCTTCAAGACAATGTAATAGAAATGAAGACCTTTAAGAATAATATATTATTTTTTGAATAGATAGTAAGATACAACGCATTTAATATCAAAATCTAAAAAGAGACTCTTGATGTTTGGTGATTTTATTGGATTTGGATACAATTCCTCATGGTATCATAAATATTTTCATTCAAAGAAGTTACAAAGGTTTCAATAATGATCAAATTACAAGATAGTCTTCTTGCCTTAGAATTGGATATGATTGATGGCTGAGAGGACCTATCAACTATCTTTAAAAGAAACAAAGATCAAAGTACATTACAAATATAATTTGTCAGATATTAGACTTCCTAAACATATGATCATTACTTCTCGTGGCACTCATTTTTAGAAAGGGAGATAATGTCATGGATATAAATTTATTATAATTATTATCTAAGTAATATGAATAGATAGAACTAAGTAAAAGTAGATTAATTTTATAATATCTTTTTGAAAAGATTTTTAAAAGCTTTTTAGATATTATTTTGACTTTACGTGTATTTGTAGTTGATTAGTAGATTAAAAACTTGATCAACAAGCTAACCACATATCACATATATTGGTAGCTTGTGAAATAAGCTAATTATATAGCACCCATATAGAAACTTGCTTTGCAAGTTAAGATATGTATCATGCAAAGTCAACATATTTTTGGATGTCCTTTAGAATGTCACCACATAGATCTTAGGTAGATAGTATATATAGAAGCAAGAATAAAGCCTTTTTCACTCTTGTCAACTCCTTTCTTATTTCTAGTCTAATTTCGAGAGCCTCTAGTTTTCTTGTCTTGTGGTAATAGCCATTCTAGTTTTTTTTTAATATACATATTTCTTTATTTTTATTTTGTCATATTCTTTGAGAGAGTCTCACTTATTTGTTTGTTTTTATCGAATTCTTATCCTTGACAATATATCGAATTTAGGTCAAAAATAATCTTCAGCTAAAATATTTATATAAATTCCTTTTTTAGACTAAAATTTTTGAAAACACCTTGAATCCTCTTGATTTTTATTTCCCACATAGAGATGTTTTTCTTGCATTTTTACACTTATTGCATACATGCAAAAATACATAAGTTATTGAAAATGGATTGCCTACCTTAACTAGAAATTCTTTATTAAAATTCCTCCCTTCATCCTATTAAAACTAATCCTAATGCATCTCATAGATTAAGAATTGGTGTCAAAAAATTTACTACATATGCAATTATTTATGTTAAAAAAGCACAAAGGATTCAAAACAAGATATATTCTAGATACAAGTTTAATAGCTTAAAATTATCTTAATAGCAATTAAAAGAAAGTCACAACCTAGTGTGGCATCTAAGTGACGTAGTGTGATGTTTTTACAAAAGAAAAAAATAGAGGTAAAAAAAATTTTAAAAAAGTAGAAATTCAATGAAGAAATAATGGATTTCCACAATGAAGTTATGTTTTGTCAACCTGAAGAAAGGAAGAATTGACACTCAATGGATGAAGCGATGCGCAATAAGAGTAGAAGGTGAGTTGCCATTAGGACAATTGATTAGGATGTTATTGCTAATGATGGTAAATGATAAAAAATAGAAGTATAACACAATAATTGAATCTTGTCATATCGTCAGCTGTAGGGTCCAAACTTGCGCGGGGGAACCCCAACAGATTTCAAGTCTGTCGCCTTAACCACTCGGCCAAATTGACGAGGCAGATGCCAACAGCATTCCTATTTCCCTCTATATTCTATTACTCATCTCCAAACACCTTCACCTCCTGCATCCACATGCTCATCACCTGTGGCAATATTTTATGATTCTTACAAGATGTAATTATAATTAATATATTCATCAAAAAAATAAAAGCAATAAAGTAAGTTACTTTATAAACAATATCAATATAAAAATTATCATTAAAAATTAAAATATTATAAACTTGGTTTAAAATCTTATGCTTTCATATATTTTCATTTGTAAATGTATGCTACATGTTGGACTACTAATACCTCGCAACTTTAAAAAAATTATAAGATAATAGTAGCAAAAAGTGAGCCAATTGGTTTGAATACCATATATTTCTTTGAGCTTAGTATTACATGACTTTTCCAAACATATTATTTCAAAAAGTAATATTTTTTATATTAAATTAAGTTATTTTATTTATATTATAATAATATATATTTTTATATAACTTCCTTTGTTTTTTTACTACTTCTCTAAAATATATATATGCATATTAATTAAGGGGGGTTGCACCCATTGAACATTGCAATTGTAGCATGTATTTATTAGGTTGTAACGATATCAATTAAAGATATAGCATTAACAATTCCCTATACATGTATGTATATAGGCAGTGTAACTGAAGTTGTATTCACCAAAAGGCAAGTTAGTCATGAGAATGTTGGGAAACGAATCAATGAACAAGAATGTCCAATAAGACATCTCTTTTTTATTTGGTGGACATCCATAATACCATGCACCCACACATGTACACAAAAGAACTCTAATTTGTAATAAAGACATTATAAAAAAATTATAATAAAAGACTTGTGTAGAAAATCTCATAGCATTTTTTTCACAAATATTATATTAAATTTTTAAAAAAATTATAATACATCTCATTATTTTTATCATTGGATTTAAAACAATCTAATTTATTACTTATAGATCTGTAACAATGTATTTATTCCTAAAACTTTTCTTGTATGTACAAGAAATTTACTACATGAAAAGAAAGATGTGAAGCACAAGAAGAACCACTTAGTAAAAGGTAGATGTCCATATAGCGATCTCATTAAAAATAACCAAATATACTACAACAAAATCTATATGCATTTAAATTATTCAAGATTTAAACACAATTATATATATATATATATATATATATATACATATATGAACATAGTAAATTATTAATAATTAATAAACAATTAGTATTCCAAAAATGTACCTAAGATCTAAAAAACAAATAAAAATTTGGTAATTCAATTAAAAAAGCTTGTAGTATATTATTATTCAAATTTAATAACGCTAAATATAGAAAAAAAATACCGATTTTTTTTTCAATTACTATAAAACTTTAATCTACAATTAATAGTAAAAACAAATAGATATCAAATTGTTAAGCAAAGTTAACTAGATCTAGTATCAACTTTTTAATTTTTTAAGAAATTTAAAAGAACTTTTCGAAATTTTTTCCCAAAAAAAAAAAAAAAAAAAAAAAAAAAAAAAAAAAAAAAACTAATGGACAAATTGTAAAAAAGTAATGAATAAACATATGTTAAAATATGTAAACTGAAAAAATAAAAAATATAAATATAAATAAGAAAAGATGATATTGAATCAGCATAAGAAAAAATTTAAATTCTATAATTATTTATATAATTTGTCTAATTTAATTTCTAGGTCTTTAAAACAAATAATTTTTATAAAAAAAAGAAGTAAAGAACAGAATGAGATAAATAAAAAGATGATGAGGATAATTTGACTCAAAAAATTAAGAAAACAAAATACTAATATATATATATTTATATATATTAATCTTTGAAAATAATAATATCAAGTTTTTTAAATGCATATGTAATACAGTTTCTTTTTAATGAGATGTACCATATCATTTTCTTCACTTTACACATATATATATATATATATCTAATTTTATTTTTTTTCTCTTTTTACAATTCTAGATATAACAATTATGAAGGAATTTGTGCAATACACCATACTGATACACAAGTTAAATAGACCCAGAACATAAAATTAAGAACTTTTTCATGGCATAACTTATATTTAAAACAAATACGGTAAAATCATCCTTTAACAATCTCGGATGTCTATAACTAATATGACAAAACCATGTTATTGTTCAACACATTTACAATAATTCAACAATTTCGATTCAATCAAAATTTGAAATATAATCAAGTATGATGTGTACACCGAAAATCAAAATTAATTACAGTAATCTTTGCAATTAAATGTATAATGTATCATCTTCACATTTTTAAGAACACTATTCTGCAATATGTTATGCTCTTATATTTAGAAGCAAAATGTAGAGGCCTGAAATAACTAAAAAAGTGTATTAGAAAAGTCAACACAAATTAGTTCAACAAAAAAATTTACTAGCACCTCATTGCGTAATTTCTCTACACAACAGTTTTATGAATTAATAAATAAATTCTACAAAAATTAAAATAAAAAATACAGCAAACTAATAACCTAATGAGAATAAAATACATAGCGTTACAAAGAAAGAGAGATAAATTACAGACAATACCTCAATAACACTACAATAATAAAATAAGAAAACACATATATAAAAAAATATATATACATATACTTCAATAAAGAAATATACCTTAACTTAGCCACAAAAAATATTATAAAATGAAAAAACAACAAAACAAATGACAAAAACTATTCCAACAGTAACTTCAGTTTTAATCAATGAAATTAGTCAACAAAAAGGTCATACCTAAGAATTTCAAAAACCACAGCGGTTGCAAATAAACCACTCAAAAGACGAAAAAGCATTCTATGCACGAAATGCACGAACTAGCCATATACTATGGCAGAAAATTAATCTCAATCATATCAAGCAGCGATAACTCCGACCACCTCAATGAATATTTGAGAGCTGGTTCAGGCACAGAAAAGGATAACCAAGCGCTGTATTGCCATACTCGATTCATGAACTGGGGTAAAAAAAGACCTACCGGAAACAATGCAGACATGGCGGCGATCTCCCGCATCGTGGTACCCTCCAAATTACTAACAAACCTGCATACCCCACCGTATTCACGTTATGATCACAAACAACAACAAAACCAAGAAAACAATAAACACGGAGACACGTCAAGGAAAGGAAAGAAAGCGCCACTCACTCCTCCTTGAGACGCTTCATGAGATCAGGAGAATACGAATAATACGCCATTGCATAAGCAGGAGCACGAGCACGAGCTCCTCTACATTCACACACTCCGATCCGAAAATCCTCCGATTTTTCCAAACTAATTCAATCGCCCGAGCTCTGAGCCCACCTCACAAAACGCGAACAGCATCTCAATCCCAACGCTCACTCAAATCTCGACCAACTCTTGGTCCACATCATCCGCTTCTTCCATCAAAATCCCCCCAAAACATGGTCAGCCCAAACACCATTCCGACAAAGCCTACCGCGTCAAACGCCGCAAAAGCGACGCCGCCACCGGAAGCACAAATCGAAAGCCCGCGAGAAAGACGAACGAAATGTAGGAGCGAGAGCAGGTGCGTGGGAAATTCCCACCTTCGCTTCGCTGCGCTTCAGTGGAGCAGACAAGCTTCCAAAGCTTCTAAAACTTCACATAACCCTCCAGTAATTGCTTCTCTCTTAGTGAGAGACGACAATGAAATATAGTATTTACTAAGAAATACACTTTCAAATACTAAATGAAAACCCGAAGAATCCAGACAGATCCGTTGGAGTCGGTTCCGCCGGGGGTATAGCTCAGTGGCAGAGCAATCGGCTGCAGTCCGATAGGTCAGCGGTTCAACCCCGCTTGCCCCCTCACACCCCACATCTTCAGTGAACCTCTTAAGACTTGGTGCCGAAACTGTTCGAGATCGTTTGCGCACCTCTGAACACAAGTTTTAAATGTTCTAGTTGAGTACTTTATACCCCCCCTCCCCAGCATGGGGTGATCGTCGGTTCTTGAAAAGTCCGATGTTGTCAGATCTTTTACACAGAGTTTGTTGTCTCTTGGATCGTTCTGACCTGAAGTGTCTGAAAAGTCCGATGTTGTCAGATCTTTTACACAGAGTTTGTTGTCTCTTGGATCGTTCTGACCTGAAGTGTCTTATGCCGAGCTTAACTTCACTTTTTTATTTGTTTTTATTTGAATATTGGTGGATTCAGCAATGAAAAATAGTGTGTTTTGCCTTGTTGAGTTGGTTTGCTATGACCAACCTGAATAAGAACTCTACATGTTCTATTTTGTTGGAATTGTTATCACCTTCTATTTAATAGACCCACAAATAATTTGCATATTGAAGTGTCTATAAGATAACATTGTGTTTTAACACACCATCCTCCCTAAATTGAATTAGGATGCTATAATTTAAATTGTAATAAAATGGTCTCTTACTTGACTTTCATGTTCTTTTTCTTAATTGTTTAATTCCAATACACACAGCTTCAAATGAAGACATTTTTTTTAATTGGTTGGATTTAAGTTGTTTAGGATACATATGTACTTACAAGGTACAAATGCAAGCGACAAGGAATACATCACTAGGCTAGAGCAAGAGAACAAAGATGGACAACGACAAGTTACTAGAAATAAAACAACAACCAAAACCATCAAGTAAGCTCTTTAATCCCAAACTTGGCCATAGATTCTTGAAAAGACCAAATTAACTCTGGAAGCTTTTTTAGCCTCAACTCCTTAGAAAAACGATCAAAAGAGAGCTTCAAACTTCAACTTCTTCACTTTCCACCAATAAGAGAACATCGGCCATGCCCTCTTCTCCTTTCAAAGGATGTTATCAACCTTCATAGAAAAGACTCTTGTTGTGCAACCTTGGTGGCAAGCGAGGACAATTAACACACAAAACAAGAGGATTCAGAGCCACAATTAACATACACCCTCAACCCCCAAACACCTACACAAGAAACTATAACAACGAGCAACTCAAAACAAATAATAGATGACCTATCTACACCAAAACTCCACAACCCAAGTAATCTGGGAAATGAACATGGTTTGACACCACATGCAACAAGGCTAACAGTATAAATCAAGAAACAACAAGATCAATTCCAATTAATAAAACTACCCACAATAAAACTACTCCAAAAAAATTGACAAGACCAGACAACAATCCAACTTAGTTCAATTACAACTACAGAAAATTTGCCATAAACACTTGGAAAAACAATGCAACTCCTTTTGAGCTAAATAGATTATGGTAGGAAATTACTAAAATTTAGAATTCTTAAAACACTATAGAGCACAATATTGAAAGATAGAAATCTAGGAGTTTAACAATAGTGGTTGTATATTGTCTCACTTAAAAGACATCCCTATTTATACACAAACATTTAAAAAAAAAAAAACTATATACAAAAGATATAGAGGTAGAAACAAACAATGTAGCTTGAAGAAGGTGCTTTTCTAGTTTGCCAAAATTAGCTATAGAAGCAGAAAATAAAGACATGGAATATGACACAATAACAAAAGAGATAAAAATAACAATAAAAGATCTACTCAAAGAAAAATCACTTGGGTTGGACATGGTATTGTCAAAAGTTTTCCAACAATGCTGGTTTGACATATGAGCAGATGTGGTAGAACTGGTACAAGAAGTCCTATTAATAAAAAGACTCTTTTCTAAACTCAATATTAGTAATATTATATTAATTCCAAAATTAAGTGACTTACATTTAATTACAAATTATTTTTCAATTTTTCTTTTGAATCAAATTTATTAGATCATAGAAAAAATATTGAAAAAACAATTAATACCAAACTTGCCTAGATGGATTCTCACAATTCAAACAAGAATCATAAGAAGACAATACATATTTTACAATGTATTCCTAGTGATGGAAGCAATGACTTGAGTAAAAGAAAATAATCAAGATATTTTTAAATTTTGAAAAGACATTTGATTGCATTAGTTGGACCTTCCTAAAAACAACAATGATACAATTAGCATTTATAAGCAAATGGATTGAAATAGTGATGTCACTTATTATAGAAGTGGTAGCCTTAATTACTATTAATGGAAAACATGGGCTAATTTTTACCTTGGAAATATTGGTCCACTAAAGATGCTTCCAATACCATACTTATTCCTCTTTGTAATAGCTATATTAGGGCATATATTAGACAATAAAAAGAACAAAGTAGAAGGCATCATCTTACTACATCAATCAAAAGACACCAACTCTATGTTTGCAAATAATATTTAAGTATTTCAAGTGAATAATCCACCAACTTGTTTGTTTGATAATATATGTATAAAGGTTTCTCCATACATATATATAAATGCTTTGATTATCTTAAATTTTAAACACAAATCTAAATTTAATATACATATATATATATATATATATATATTATAATTTAATAGTTGTAATTATTATACTTATATTTGGTGGTTTGGCCTTAATCTATTTGGTAGTAAAGTAGGTTGCTACTATTGGTATATTAAGTCATATGTTTTGTAGGCCTAATAGTATGGAGTCTCTATTTTATAGAAGGTTTAGCCAATAAACAACTCACTAAGATGAGAAGTTTGGTTTAGACTAACTTCCTTCTTTGATAAAAAAAAATAATCAATATTCTACTTATTTATTCTCAATTTTGGTTTTTCTAAAACTAAAAGCTTCGTAAAATCACAATATATTATGGTCTTGAAATCTCTTTTATTTATTTTAGAATTTTTAAAAAAAATAATTGTATAAGTTGTATAGCACTCTTAATGCTTCTTAAAGATTCTATAGTATTTTAGAGGATTCTAAAAATCTTCTAAAATCTTCTTAGAAATTTTCCGATTTTTTATAATATTTTAAAAACTTCCATAGTCTTGAAGATATTTCTTTATAGAATATTTTTTGGAATTGTATAATATTTTATAGTTTCAATAAAATCTCTTAAAAAAGTATACATAAAGTTTATATGCCATAGTAATGATATAAGGGCAAAACATTCATAACCTTAATTTCACCAACAAAAGTTTTGAAACAATTCAAGAATTATTTTTGTTCTAATTTCATGCCTATTCTTCATATTAATCAAGAAGATTATATCATTATGAATTTTGAGATATATTTATATGTTTTTTGGTTTGGTTTCTTTCATAAATTGACAAGGTTTTCTTTGCCACATCTTTATGTTTCTTTCAAAAGTAGGTTGAATATTGTTCTTGCAATAAATACTTCTACTTTCCAAATTTTGTAGATTATTTAGCTTTGTAGTAGTTATCATATCAAAAAGTAGTCTTAAATATATGCACACAAACACTCTTTTTTTGCACAATATATTTTGTTGTGAAGATCACTAATTCTTTTTGGAGAATGGTTAACTATTAAAGAACATCACACCAAGCATATTTCATCACAAAAAACTTATCAATTATGCCATATAAATATAAAAATCCATTTCTTTTAATTCTAAACCCTAGTGCATGGATGTTGGGGGTTTCTAGACTTACATCGTAGGGTTTTTCAGTCATAATTCGGAAGAATGATGAACGATGCCATATTATAGATTAGTAAGATCATTTCTTATAAAATTTAATTTTTCTATAATGTGTGTGTAAGATCTCTGCACCAGCTCATGTCACAATGCATGTTTTCAAATATTTATGAACTGTTGTACACATTTTTTCATGAAGGGAAAAATAACAAGAATGGAAATTTGCGTCTTGCCGAAACTTTGAGGTTGAAATACTGAAAATTGTTGCTTTGCAATGAAGAACAATGGACCGTCCCTTCACGTCCCTCTGTTGGACCTCTCCAGATTCACGACACGTTCCGATGGCGTTCCCATCGGGAAGTCGTTCTCGAATTGTGCGGGCGCTCGCTGGCCCAACAGACGTTTCTGTGTCCCAGTTCGCCGCCGAAGTCGCGTTCGGAGGGTTCTCCCGTGACAGCAGGGATCGTTCGGTCATGCGGCCTTCGGCATCGCCTTCCCTGTGATGTTTCTCCCAGGGATGGCATGACTGGTGAAGGGGGCTTGGTGCGGGGGCTCTGGAGTGTTGTTGATTGTGGGTGCAGTGAGTTTGTGGAATGCGAGTAACCAAGTGGCTCGGGAAATCTAGAGCTTTGGAGTTGTGCTACGGGATGGCGTCGACTCGGTGAACTGCGGGTGGTCGTGTTTTTCTTTGACAATTCACACAGATACGAGCTGAAGCAGATCACGGCGTGGAGGTTGTTGTGGTTTTGCTGGTTCTTGGTTGCCAGAGATGGTGCGGTGTGGCATGACGGAAACAACTGAATTTCGAAGGAGGGTTGATTTCATACGAGTCTGGGATGGAGTGATTTTTCGTTCAGGGACAGAGCATGCGATCGAATCTTTTGGTTGGTTGTCTGGTGAGCGTGCAAGGGCTTATGGCCACAGGTGATGAGCATGTGGATGCAGGAGGTGAAGGTGTTTGGAGATGAGTAATAGAATATAGAGGGAAATAGGAATGCTGTTGGCATCTGCCTCGTCAATTTGGCCGAGTGGTTAAGGCGACAGACTTGAAATCTGTTGGGGTTCCCCCGCGCAGGTTCGAACCCTGCAGTTGACGTTTTGTATCCACTACACACTTGTATTTTGGCTCGTATTGGAGGCTCAGGAACCCCTTCCTTCGTGGTTGCTTTGGTGAGACTTCTGCACAGCATGCTCTGAGTGGCCGTACAAATCAAATACTTATTGTATTTAGACCTTGGCATGTTCGTACCACGTAAGGTCCTGCTGCTGCCACCATTTTCCTCCCTCAGCGATCTCATCCTAATCAAAGACATCCATTGGCAACTCTCTTTGTGCATTGCTTCATCCATCGAGTGTAAATTCCTCCTTTCTTCAGGCTCTTTGTTACACATGACAAACATCACTTTATTGCAGGAAT